TTGTAAGACATATCTGTAAATTATTTTTTTCAAATAAATTTGTAAAAAATTTCTATGAATATTTTTTCCAGGAAAGTTCGCAAAAAATTTCTACTAATATTTTTTTGCAGGATAATTCGCAGGAAAATGAAACTTTTCTAATAGTGCGTTGGACTGAAAAATTTGGAAAAAAGAAAAGTACTTATTATGTATTAGTTTCAACTTTAAATAACAAGGAAACAAACACTATAATTGAATTATTCAAGTTGGTCTGGGGAGGAGTTAAATAGGACAGATAAATGATCTATATTATTGTAATCTAAAAATAGAAAGAAAGAAAAAACTACCGTACAATTTTTCCGAATTATCAAGCCCCAAAAATTAATATAGCAATAATAGTTGTTCAGCTTTAGTGTGACCTACATAACTTTTAGATTCTTCTAAAAAGTTTAATTCCTTCCTTTTCATGGTTTCAATTGGCAGAGTGGGTGGGCATATATCTACAAAGACATTGCAATATAACATTTTAAATCATATAATGTTCCGATAGAGAAATTGTAAAGGGATGTATATTTTCCTTAGTTTGAATATTAGTTTTAAGATATATATAGAGAGAGATCAACACACTAGCTCTTAACTCTTTGTATCATATTTTTTCTTATCAACCGTAGTTTATTAAGAATTATATAAAATATTATGGATTTCACTTATCATTCAACAGAGTCTCATTTTATAATTTTATATTTTTCAATAATTTGTAACAAATTGTAGAGAATGTGTTGAAAAAAAAGTATTACTAATATTACTATATGGAGTTTAATTAGACACAAATATCAAGTGATAAATGTTGAACTCTATTCTTACCTTAATGGCTTCCATGAGATATGTATGAATGTATCGTTAATTTTACAGTGTTAAAAAATTATTTTCAAGACCACTATATATACATTTTGACTAATCTCTACAATAAATGTATTTAAATTTTTTAATAAAAAAATTAACACTCAATTATATGTCATATAGGTATAACCAAAAATCATGATGGTCTTAAATTGTCTAATAATTTTCTATCTTAATTGCACATTTTTGTCCTCTTATCTTTTTTGACTTTTGTGAATTTTGTTACTAAATTTTTTTCACATATTTTGTCCTAATTAGTTGATTACCCATTATCATTAGTTGATTATTGATATGGCAATATTTACTAGTGTGACAATTCACATGTTAATATGACAATTTGAAGTTTGTCATAATAGATAATGATTGTGACACTCTCTACTCCAACATACATATACAGTAGTTATAAAAAAAAATCAATAAAAATAAAATTTCCAACCACGTAAGGGTAAAGAGTTCACATTCATAAACTTAATCCAAATAACATGCTAGTAAAATTACAAAGAAATAAAATTAAATTTTCTAAAATAATTTAATAAGAACATCTTAAACTAATCCTATCTATGTCCCAATGTCACATGTCCTATTAGAGTAAAACCCAACATAGAAACCTAAGCTTCATCACCAACATCCTCAGTCTCACGCTGATGATCACCTGTATAATAGTCAAAGCAAAACAACATGAGAAAAAGGAGTGAGAAACATCTCACTCTAGCTCACAGTGTAGAAATGTATGTCGAATAGCCAAACACAAATAAAACAAGTATAACATAGATAAGTTAATAATAACATCACACTCATCCAAGACATAAACCATCACTTTATCATATAACATTAAAATGCATAAGTATGGACACAGACTACATATTATCATGCATGTGGCGCCAGTAAAACATCACATGGCATATTGCCGCTAGCAATACACGAAGAGTAGTCTAGGAGTACATGCCGGGTCACACCCTCTGCGCACTCTCACTAGAAGGATATACTACTAGAGTCTCGTCGAGATAGCTAAGCCGCGCAAGATACATCCCATGCACACAATGGGCGAGACTGGGACTTCCAAACCGAGCTATCCCCAAGGACTAATCCCCAAAGCTTTTACACTAGGGGGCCTTCTCTGGCGGTGTATTCCATATCGTACCCTTAAAACACTTATGCAAATGATGCATGTCATTCAAGACTCTATGCATTCTCATATCTCATTATCATTTCTCATTCCCATATCACATTATCATGTCTCATTATCACTTTTCACATCATCTCATCATATTCACATAGTCATCACTTTTCACATCATCTCATCATATTCACATAATCATCATTTTTCACATCATCTCATCATATTCACATAGTGTCTACAGAGCACTCAAAATCATATCAAAATTGATCTATTTTCAAAAATAAACACATATTTATACATCTCATTCAACAAGGAATACATCAGAACAATCAGAAAGCAAAACAGAAAATATTCATATTTTGCCTGTTTCTCATAGGGTTCCCACAGGAACCCACAGAGCACTCTAATTCATATCAAAACTTGTTTATTTTCAAGATTATATACATATTTACACTCAGCAAATATCAAGAAACACAACAGAAAACTCAGAAGGTAAAACAGAAAACATTTAAAATTTGCCTCTTACAATTATCAATGCATTCCCTTAGGGTTTCCCATAGGAACCCATAGAAATCTCAATTCATACAATTAATTACATATAAGAAAACAATAGGCAAAACAGATACAATTGGGAAAAACTCATCATACATAAGCATACAAAAAATGCAACAAACACAGGATTGAGGGTCAATCCCACTACACAGCATACAATCCCACACCTAGAGCGAGGTTTCTCACTCCCCCCTTACCTCGATAAGCAGGAGCCGAATCTTGTTGGTCGCCCCCTCTAGGTTCCCCGTCGTCTTCAGAGAGAAAGGAGGAAGAAGATTAGAAAATGAAAAAAATGAGTTTTAGAGAGTGAAAAACGTTCTATTTATAAGCATCAGGCTGTGGCCAGAACGGCCTGTTCCGAATCCGGAACGACCCGTTCTGGACAAATAAAACATGTGCAAAAACCTCTCCTAGAACGTCCCGTTCCAAAACCAGAACGTCCCGTTCTGGGGTCAATACTTGTTCTCTAAAACCTCATCCGGAACGGCCCGTTTTGGGTTGAAATTTTTCCTATGTTTGCTCGAATTGGAACGGCCCGTTCCCAAAGTGGAACGGCCCGTTCCGGGACCATCAAAATCCAGAATTTTTTAAATAATAAATAAATAAATAAATAAATACATATCAATACAATTTAAAACATGATTTTCTTTAAATAATAATTATAACAAAATATCATAATTAATAATATTATACAAAATAATTTTCATAAATAATTATTAATAAAAACCTTTAAAAATTTAATCAAACTCATTTAATTAATCAAAATAATTATAAGGAAATAATCTTCATAAATACAAAAATAAATAATAATTATTTGTAGTATTAGTAGAAAAATTTGGGATGTTACAATGATAACGTGTATTGTTAATGTGATTGTTAGATCACGTAGCAATATATAAGACACTAATATGGAGTGTTGATAATTATTATGATAATAAAAAAATTACAATTTTTAATAAAAAGATATATTTAGAGGAGATATTTGTTTATTTCGAAAGTAAATCTATTTAAACTTATTTCGTTTAATAATTTATATTTCACATTAAATTTTAATGATCCTATCGTTGAATTTAAAGTTCTCGATACATTGATCAAGTTTGTAAATTTTTTTTAAAAATTAAAAATTATTTAATACTTCATTTCATTAATTCAAATCAATATATAAAATGATTTCATGATCATTTATTAATTTGAATTAATGAAACGAAGTATCAAATAGTTTTTAAATTTTTTAAAAATTTGTAGATTTAATCTATATATTATGAATTTTAAATTCAACGATTGGATAACTAAAATTTAATGTAGAACATAAGTTATTGAATAAAGTAAATCTAGAGAGATATATTCTTAAAATAAACTATTCCTCCTATATGAAGGTAAACAAAAATATATATTATGATAATCCAACCAAGGATAAAATATGTAAATGATTTAAGCAAAAGAAAGAAAAAGGTGAAACTAATGGGCAATGAAATTGGGTTGTAATGAAAGTAAGCCAATCCCCGACTCATAGCAGACAACAATGTCGCAACAGTTTGTATGCAGTGTGAACATGAAGAGACTGGGTATGAGTGCTTATGAACATACAAAGATAGCATGAGAAGAGGAGTATGCTTTTGTGTGAAAGAGATAATGAATCATTGGTAATGAAACTACTAAGTACCAACATAGAAGATGAATATGCTTTTACTGTTTTCTCTCTCTCTCTCTTTATATTTTTTTTTGTACTTGAGCATTTTAGTATTTTTAAAAATTTTAGTGTTTTTATATTTTACCTTTTTACTCTATGTATTTTGCATTTTAGCTTTTCTTACCTTTTATTTTTCTATATCTATATTCTTTTCACTCATTTTACATCCTACAAGGGTCGTGAAAAAATAAACACTACACTTTCGTACATTGAACAAGCTATTAATGTACGCAGTCTAAAAAATAAATAATTATATAAATTTAGAGTTAAAAAAATGAGCATGGCTTACGGTACACAAGAGAAAATAGCCAATTAAATATGCTGCTAATTACCTTTTATATATTATTGATGTGATGCAATATGCATGAGACGTTGTATGTGAGGGGATAAAAAGAAAGAAAAAAACTAAATCTTATCCGTTCGGCTGGGGTGGGAAGGGGAATTTTATGGACATTGATAATGACAAAGGCATAATTTGGTTCGTATTAATTACAGTAGAAAAATGAATGCAAAGTCAGCAAGGCATTCCATTATAAATGCATTCCCAAAAAATAAAATAGATAAGGATTCAAAACCATTACCATATAGTCCCGCTATCCAACGCTGAATAGCCTGTCTTTGCTTTTTAATCTAGTATGAATATTTTCTTTTTCTCCCTCTAACGAACAATATCAGTGAGCTCAATTATTAAACACATGGCACAGCTATGTGCTCGTAGGTGACATAAACTAACGTTGCTCACAAAGGAAGATACTGCCATTTCGGGTCAAAATGCAAATTATTATTATGTTAATCGATACTTTTCAAACCATAGTCAAACAAACACACGCTTAGCTACCTAGCTAGGAACAATATACATTGGATCATTCACATTATCTACAAATTTCTAAATTCCTATTGGTTTACATGTACAAATTAATCCACTCCATGCCGTTGATATAATGGGTCTCAGGCACGTAAAACACATCATCATCATATCCATCAACTCCAAATTCCCCTAAAAATGGTGGGTCCAACGCTTCCACTGATTGTGACTGTGACGAACTAGAACTGTTGCTGGGGACTCTATCAGCACTCTGTAGCAACCTTTGTATCTCCTTTTCTGCTTCGGAAAGTTGGTCCTTGAGTTTCAGCACCTGCAAGCAATGGTGTCACATGGTATTGGTCGGAGTTAACAATATCTAAGTCTAACCAAAGATAAAGCTGAGGAGAATATATATAAATAGACACACACGATAGGTATTGATCAGAGGCTAATGGCGTTTCACGTGGGAACACATGTTACGTGTCTTCTTCGTAAGTGGGCCTTGAGCAGGCCCAACGTGAGCTATCTTAATAATATTGTACGGAGCCTATCCAAGAAATATTGGAAGAAACGGTGCCTTTTTGTTGTCTACTAAGGTGGCAGTTTGCTGTTCCTTTTGTTAGTGGTTTTTCCCTTTTTGATTTTATTTTTTCCACATGACTTAGACTTATCTATGGCTGAGAACTTAAGAGTGTCACTTGGGTTTCTTCGAGCCCAGAGCTCATATGCACGTTCATATGGTGGGTCTTAGTTTCTTTACTTTTTTTCTTTCTTTTTGCTTTGCCCTGAAGAACCGGTTGCATGCGGGTGATTCTAATCTCTTTCAACATTTACGGGATTAAACTAGTCACATAATCTTTTTAAAGCAACGACTTACAGAGTTAAATAAAGAATAGAGAATAAAAAATATCTAGGCCACCAGAGAAGCAACGTGGTGACATGCTAGCCCGAAATTGACGTTTTTGTTACGGGAAAAGAAAATGACACCACCGTTGAGTACAAAACAAAGTTGTAATTGGGTGGGAAACAAAGGAGTTTCAACTTTCAACTTCAGAGTTCAGAGTCTCTAGGAGTAGCGTACTATCTCCACTTGAGCTTTCAGTTCCCACAAAATTAGGCCATAAAGTCATACTCTCACTACTCATTTTTCTTTCCCAAAAAGTTTCCTAAGCACAAGAACTAATATGGACCAATGAAATGCCTCTCGTTTTTTAATTGCGTACGACCTCATGTTTTTAAATATGGTTAATTTTCTAGGAAAACTCAATTTATTTCAGGAAATTAAAAAAAAAAAAAAACTGTGAGAAAGAGAAGGGCTTGATGTACCTCACTCTCAAGGCGACATTTCTCAAGCAAGGTTGATTCATGAGTTTTTTTAAGGCTAGAGTACTCTTCTTCCAATTTTTTGTTCTTCCAACGAGCTCTTCTGTTTTGAAACCACACAGCAACTTGTCGAGGGTCCAAACCAAGCTCCATTGCGAGCTTGTCCTTCCTTTCTGACTCGAGTTTATGTTCACTTCCAAAGTTTTGCTCAAGCAAATTAACTTGCTCCACACTAAGCTTCCTCTTCTTGTTGGCTTCCGAGGCACTGTTTTCTCCTCCTTTGTTCTTCTTATTACGACGACGTCTTGGCTTCTTCTCACCTGAAAAAGTAATCATATATATAAAAAAAGCTCTTTAATTTATTTCATGTAATGTTAACACTTGGATTCTAAGTTCTAACCTTGTTGAGCTATTATTTGAGTATATGCATCGCCAGGGTATAGCTGAGAGATGAGCATCATGGGGTCTTGGAAAGGTCGATGATTCATTGTGGTGTGTTACGTGCGTTCCTAGCTAGCTCGCTCTAATTCACTGGCTTCGATCTCTTTGATCTCAAAACCAGTGTTATGTTATGTTCTTAAAAGGACGATATGTTTTTGGAGAGACAACATAGACCTTCCACATATTTATAGCAAAAATGATGCCTGTCTACTTAGTTTGAGTTCAGGATGTGTAAAAATGTATTCTACCAAATACCCTAACTTTTGCGTATATTTGCAGATCAGTGCCATTATGTTTTTATTCTTTGTTATTTTAATAGTTGTCATGACACACCGGCAAATAAAATACGTACGGGCGCATCACAATAGATCATATGATATACAGGCATATAATAAGTGGTTTTTATTGTCTATTTACGAATATATGGTACGAATAATATTACATTAAATGTTTTCATTTATTTTTATAATTAATTCTTAAATAAAATTTATTTTATACAATAAAAATATTTTAAACTTTTTATTATATTTTTATAGACACATGATAGAGTGAATAGACAACTTCACGTGATTATATAAGTATATATACATATTATCTATACAGTGTATTATATTTTCCTTCATTTCTCACTAAATAAAATAAGTTGTATTGTTCCCCTATTTTTGATCAATAATGCATCTAAAAAGTTTGAATTTAACACGTTTTTTTGTATGGATTATGAAAATATAAACTTCTCCATTGAGATGCTTTTAAAAAGTGGGTAATGATTTTCTTTCTTCATCTAAATTTGGAAATAATTCAAAGAATTACGTGGATCCTTACGCATAGATAATATTATGATAAATAGAAAAGCTAAATGTATTGTGCAATTGGCCACACGCGATGCAAAGGATAATCTTAAAATTTATTTTCTATATTTAGCAACACACACTTCTTCAATATAATTAAATAATTTTTTAATAAATTTTATTAATAGTATTACACTAGCAGAAAAAGAAGCATTACGTGTCTCTGTGAAGGGAAAATAACATTTCTTCTTGTGATTTTGTGTTGCTAATTGAGTGTATGTGCAATTATTAAGTGTACATTGAGTAAGAAAAATGTGGATACCATGTGGTATTATCCTCATTATTATTAATAAGTACAGAGATGACGTGAGAAATTTACAATAAGTGGGTCAAATTTCTCCCATTTCACACACCCGAAGTTGTATATATTATTATTACTGAGGTTTTTTTTTTTGGGTAGTGAAAGATAAGTATATGTGGAGGTTTAAGAAAGAGATGAATAATAATAATAATAATAATAATAATAATAATAATAATAATAATAATAATAATAATAATAACAATTTAACGAATAATATGATAAAAAAAAATATAAAATTAATTGTAAAATATGAAGTGTAAAAAAAGAAAGTTGAATGATTAACGAATGCAAATTAGTTTTGTAAGGCTTGTGTGTCTGGTTTTTTATCGATTACAATCAGATTTAATATAAAAAAATTTAGAATAACTCACAAACCTTAAACCTTAGTTAATCATCTAAACAAATTCCTTTATGTTTAAGGCTGGTGTTTGTGTATAAAGGGAAGTTAGAGTTCCCAAATTATAAGTGATTGTTAGAAAGAAGAGAAGGTCAAAAATAAAAAAATGGTGTGTGAGGAGAGAACAGATGCCACCAACCCAGAGGCATAAACACCTTTATTTTTTTTTAAAAAAAGAAAAGTTAAAAGAAATAGGGATGGGTTGTGATCCCAAAGGTAACCACCTCGACATTAATAAATAATGAAGAGCGGTTAGCCTCTGGATTTGGACATGTAAGCTATTTTTGTTGTCCAATTGGGTGGTAGTGATACCCCCTCAATTCTATGCGCTGCCCCTAATTAAGCCGCACTCACACGGCTTAGCTCTCTAATTAACTTTCAGGGTTAAGGGCATGCGTGGCTCGAGATGAGTGAACATTCACGATTGCAACAACTTCCTCTTTCTATGTCCCCCCTCTAACTTTATTAGGCTTCTCGTCATTGTTGACGTAATCACTTGCTACTTTAAAAAATTCCTCTCAAAAACAAATCTTTTCATGACTTTCAAAAGAGTAATGTTTTGCAATTTGAGTTACAAAGCCATATTTAGTACTTGTGTTTTGGATCAGAACGTAAAACTATATATAGGGAACTTACATGATATGTATAACTATAATTGTTAAGTTTTTGTATGGTGTTTATGTATATAGGATTTTTTCATCTATATATACCTATTTGGTTTTTAGAAAGGGTATTATAGTAAATTAAAATTTTAATTTAAAAATATATTTTAGACTACTTAATGTGCAATTTGTTAAAATATTTTTTTTTCTGCTAAAAATAAGTGGATATACATTAATAAATTATAATTTCTTGTAAATGTACTAGCTATATATTTATACATATACATCCCACCAGAGTCAATTTTAAGTAGATTTTTTTTTATAATGATGTATGCATATTTATAAATTTTGTTGATGTGTTATATAGTGTACTGTCTCGGGTGATATCCGAGATGACCTACAACTGCCCAAAACCACAATCGCTCTTCGGATCGGCCTCTTAAACCTTCGGCTACTACAATTCGGATGAGAGCAATACGTGCGAATGGCCCTACCACTCAACCTATTTATAAGCTCAAAAAGAGGCGGGAAATTTCAAAATTTAAAGGAAGATGTAACCGTTCGATCTCCGAGATCTAACGGTTACGATTATGCAACCGTTCACTTTACCCTGGTAACCGTCCTTGTTCTACCCTTGAAGAAAGCTTCACCTTCCTTCAAGGCTGGGGGGCAGTGTACGGGTAGGGGCGTTCGGCCACCTCTGGTCGGCCGCCGAATGGCAGTACTTGGTGGCCGAACGGCAATCGGCCACCAGGACCGAACTATCATTACTCAGTGCTCTTAACCCGTGATTAGGGGTTAATCAGATGATTAAAGTGTATTACCTGATATGGTAAATACGTTGCAGGGCCCATGGGGTCCAGGGCCCATAAATGTCAGTATAAATAGCTCAGGTAAAAAGGTAATGTCACTGTTCATTAATTATCCTAGATATCTGTGCTTGTCCTGACTTGAGCGTTGGAGTGCCTTTTGCAGGTACCAACCCCTCTACTCACATCGGATTGGAGTACTCGTTCGGCCTTCAGATTACGAGAAGATCATTGGTGTACCCCCTTTGTAGGTACACGAAGTATTGATAGAAATGGAAAATGTAAATTGCAGTGACACAAGGAAAGAGTATCTTTGCTTAAAACAAGTTCAGAATTTGATATTGATTCTCCTCTTTCTTCCACTTGCATTGGATATTGTCCTGATATGCCATATTTTGGCTCCCAAGAGAAGGGGTCACAAAATCTAAAATATGTCCCTTGGGAAGATATATTCGGGCACAGGCGAACCCCACCAAGAGTACTTTTCCTCCTATTTATAAAGACCAATGTTGGTTATCCCTTTAGAGTAAGCTACATTCTACAATTCTCTAAAGCATTCATCGTTTTTTCTCTAAAATATTATTCCCCTAGC